TTTAAATAATTATTTTTCAAATTTGCATAACACAAACGCAAAGTCATGAATTATTACAATTTCAAATGTGTTTACAGGGCATTTATGCGAAAAATGGGATGTAACATCTCCAGGTGGACTTGTGACACAGTGATGCATCCCAAACAGACAGATGCCACATCATGTGGACTCTTCACCTTGAAGGCAGGCATCCAAATATGCAAAATACATAGTTATGTATAAAAAGACATATCTGTGTAATTGAAAAGATTCATATACCGCTATGTAACTTATAATACCTAGATTAGTTTCAAGCTGCTTCGCCTATTAGAAATGTACAATATAATGTCTGTAAAGACATTTAAAATTTATTTTTCAAAAAAAAAAAAATCTAATGTCTTTTTACAGTTTGCTGAGAAAATCCTGAGAAAAGAAAAGATTTGTTTTCCTACAACTAAAAAAGAAATAAACAAGCACAGGATGAAAATTGCGACCACTCTCCTTCTCAGCACAGGTATGTATTCAATTACCTTTGGATTGTCTTACATGATTAGTATCTTGCTTTTAACAATTGGAAACATTAACATTGTACTATTTGATGTGATATTGTCAAAAAAAATTGAGGCTCATTGCATATTTTGGTATGTCTAACAGATGACCTAAGCAAACTCTGTCACTTTTGTGGCGAGAAAAACACGGACACTGAAGACATCTGGGTATTTGAAAATATTGCCAGGTGCTTGGAAGAATTCCCTACTTTCTATGCTGATTTCTTTCTCTATTTTTAACAGATTCAGTGTGACGACTGCTTCAGATGCTACCACCTTCCATGTGTTGGAAACCCAGATCCCCAAGAAGATTACGTGTGCTTTGCATGTCAATAGATTTGTTAAGTTGTTTCTATTATTCTGTTTCTAACACTGTGAGCGCTGTCTCAAATCAAGCTGCGACTGCGGGGCATTCTGGGGAAGCGGTCAGTCTGAAGAACGCACAAGTCTGCTCTGATGCATGCTCGATAAAGAGGGCGGGGCGAGAACAACATCCGGGGATTAAATGCGTTCTCGATCTGGCGTTCTTGAGAATTGGAACGGTACTCGGGCTGAGGCTGATGACGTGCCACGAGTACACGAGCACACGAGAATGCTCAAGAACGCATATTGAGAAACGCCGTATGATTTTCACATAATCTGGGTCACATTTATGTTGGGGAATGTATATCTAAGTTGGATGTTGGGTTTATCTTATCAGATATTAGTTTGTTTGAACTTATTTTGCTGTAGTGTAATTAAAATAATAACAATTATTTATTATTGTAGAATATGTCAACACTGATCATCAATGTGGAATAAACCAGCTGATATCTACAGTTAATTCCTAAAAGTATTGTTTTTCTGTTTTATTTTACCAGTGTTATTTTGGCAACTGCTCACAAGCTGTTGTAGAACATGATCAGTAAAGACAAATCATGAATAAATCTGGTCCCTGACAAATCAGGGGTGATGCTGGAGGGTCAACTACCATCAGATGGGACCCAGACACATCAGATTTCTACAGAGCCCCTAAAGGGACACTGAAGAGAAATACAAAAAAATTATAATTTCTCATGCGCACCATATAGTTTCTCATATGCGCACCTGATACTTTCTCGCATGATCGCACGAGTATTTCGGACAACCGTGTTCATTAGAATGGATGTATATGAACTCACTGAGCTCTATTTTTTGTTTGGGCTACCATACAAAGACATCGCTGCATTGCTTGCAAGACGTCACAGTTATGTTGTGTCTGAACGTCACATAAAACGTATCCTGAATTCCTGCGGTCTATTTCGGTGTAAAGGATACACAAACCTTGAATATGTTGTGGAATTCATTCAAACACAGCTCCAAACTACTGGTCAACTGAACGGATATAGATGGATGTTTACCAAATGTCTGGAGAATAGATTAAAAGTAAGAAATGAAGAGGTCTGTGTTATATTATACGTCTTCATCGCCGCAGCTACTTTGTAAAGGGGCCGAATTACACCTGGCATTTAGACTTCTATGACAAACTGAAAGCATTTGGAATCTGCATAAATGGCTGTATTGATTGATTTTCTAGATATAAATATAAAAAAATAAAACTAGATTTCTGGGGGACAGTGATTTGCCTACATGTTATGAATGATGGCGTACCATAAATTATAAATTATGAACAGTTTAGTTTCTGTCTTCGACTCGTTGCCCATAGTATCAGGTGCGCATGAGAAGCTAAGTGGTGCTCACGAGAAAGTTTTTTTTCTTTTTTAGAAAAAAAAGGAGGAGGAGTAGGAGGATGAGGAGAAAAGAGATGATGATAAGGAGGAGGAGGAGCAGGAGGAGTAAAGAGATGAGGAGGAGGATGGAGGAGAGAAACAGATCAACCAGCATGATGAGGACACAGCATTAGTAAAGAACAATGATGAGGAAAAGCATCAAACAGCCAGGGACAGTCAGCACCTTTGATGATAGAAGCATGGCATCCTCCTACTCCCCCTCCTTCTTCTCCTCACTGGTTATCTGTTGCTCCCCTGTCATCTCTTTCTCTGCTTCTGCAGTAATTCTCTTCTTAAAATAAGAAGAGATGTCTGTAGACTTTCTCTTCAAGTCTGAAAATGGACAAGCCATACACAATCACCAACTCATCCAGTTACAGTAGCTACATAACTATGTCAAAAACCCACTAAAAGCTGCTTTAACAGTATAATGTTACAGTTCACATATCCCCCTTTTCTTTCACAAACAAATTATTTGACTTATTTACTTACTGGCCGAAAGTGGAAGGCGCCAGAACCTAAGGGTCAATTTACACTGTTCCAACAGGAACTAGCAGAAAAAATATGGATATTTTCTAAATATACTCAAACTATACGTTCCAACTATTTTCCTTTTAATTACAAATAGATGTATATATTTAAAAATCCATGCTGTCTAAATAAAAAGGTATAGTGGACAAAATGTCTGGGGCAAACATCTTTTCCATTATATTTATCTATAATTTCACTAAAAACTCCTTGATGACTTGTAGAGACACATCATTTTCTCTTTACCCCTATATAACACAAAATTAGGGTCTTAAAAGAGCATGAATTCTCTACATATCAACTATAATGTTAGTATTTAGATGTGCCTAATTTGGTTGTCAAGTAACTATTAAAATATGAAAAATTAAAATGTTTAATAAGTCTAAACATTCCTCTTAATAGTATTACTGCTGCCACCATATGTATTAGAGGCAAATAAATAGCAGGGGTGGCCAATGATTGGCTAAGTGTGGCTATGGATCCCCCTGGCCCCCCATCTAGCTCCGCCCCTGTACAAACAATTTCAGAATTCATCTACCGGTATTAAGCAATTTGACATTGTGTTAGCTACTCATTCAGCAGTAACCAGAATTTTCCGAGCTTTACCTGAATTAGGTTCTGAAAACTGAGCTGCATCAGGCATTTGTCCAGAAAGTCACCACCGAAAAGGACTTGGTCTTTCAGCTCTCCGAAGAACTGGATCCAGAACTCCATTCCTTCTTTGCGTAAGATCCCCTACCAGCTCTCAATCCATTGGTTTGAAGTGCTGGACGCAGCAATGAAACTCTGACAGCAAGATCTGTTGTCGGTGGTATCGTGTTGGCGGAGGGAGGTTTGAATGTCTCTGATAACAACATTCTCCGTTCCTAAATCTGTTCTGATTACCCGAGGACATCCACCTGCGTGTTCCACAGCATCAATAAAGTAGCGTCCTCTGACGAGCAGTTCGCTGTTTGTGTATGCTGCTTTTAACCAAATCATTTTGCGGGAAAATCCATCAATACAACCATTGATGCATATTCCGTATGGTTTTAATTTGTCATATGAATCTACATGCCAAATATAGTTTCGTCCCAGAGCATAATACTGCCTTAGGTTTAGCCTCCGGGCTTAATGCTCAGCAGATGCGAGTGGATCCAGGGATGCGATGATTAACCGTACATCCTCCTTTTTCGCCCTGATGGGATTCATCTGACATTTTTTGTGCATTCACCTATAACCATGCAGTCTCCCGGGTCCTTCCAGCTCCTTCTGGATGAAGTCAATGACACTGCCAACGTCCACATACAGTACACTTTACGTCTCAATCCGTATGCATTCAGCACTCGGATTAAGTGTCTCTTATTAATTAACACTGTGTGTTTAATAGCAAGAGATCGTTCATTCCAAGGTTGAAATAAAATTAAATCAAGTCTATGTTCTCCATATACCTTGAATGTAAGCTACACCACCATAAAGGAGCTCCCTCACAAATAACGCGTTGCCACCCGTTGCTAAGATGTGGCCACTGTGGCCACGAGATAGATAAGTTGTGGCCACGAGATGGATACGGTGTGTCCACGCCTTAACATCTTCAAAAAAAATTCTGCCCATGTCACCAGGGGGGCTCCGTAGAAACCATTGTTTTTCTAATGCTATAAAAGCAGGCATTTGATATTTATTTTATCAGCATTAGCAGTTAAATGTACAAAAAGGATTAAGCTTATTTCTAATTTAAATACATCACATCAAAATAACTGTTTTCGAAACACACAACCTTTTTGCTTTAGTAAGAGTTAATAAGACACTAAAGATATTTTACTTAAACGACAATCAAAATGTAGATACAGCACAGCAGCAGTGTTGACGTTACATAATGCTGCTGATGACAAAATATTAGGTCTAAAGGTCAAGAAAAAGTTTTAACACACTTTTAGTTCTATAATAAAGGCTTAAGTCAAATATATTTTTGAGAGAAACACTTTATAATTTTCAAACAGTGCAAACACTTTACATAGGCAAAGTAATAAAAAAGAAACTGTGGATTAATAGGAGAGTTGCAGATATTTCACTTTTAATAAAACATGAAAGCAGAACGGACAGAATGTATGGGTTTAAAGAAATAAATGGATCATTGCTGCAATGGAATGATGGAAAACATCAGGAAGCTTTAATATTCATTTAGTTTGCAAACCTGTTTAACTTATGACAATAGCTTACAAGAGCCTCCCAACAGTGGGAGGAAAACCATGCATGCTGAAATTCTCCAAAATTCACAAAAACATTCTGAATCAGAAATATTTTGATTGTTGCTAAAAAATCATGGTTTAGGTTCCGCTTGTTAAAAAAAAGACAGAAATTGAAATTTGGCAGCTTTACCGAAAAAGACTTATATACTTTATTGAACAGTTACTCTCAAACTTATGCATATAAGTTAGACAGATTTAGGACAATTAAGACATTAACATTAAGACACATAAATATATGAAGATTATTTTATATTAGAAAGAACAGGAAAACCCTAAAGAATTCATCATTAACCAAAATATTTGCCTATTTTTTGCATTAACCTTTAACATAAAAAGAGCATTATATAATTGTCCATTACATTGCCTATTTTGTTGTGAATGTCCTTTACAATGCTCACATATGACACACTTAATTTTGCAGTATATTAGCATTCTGGTCAAACAGAATATAAAATTTTATTTATTTAAAATTATTTCATACAATAATTTTGAAGAAAAGAAGAGTTTAGGTCCTCTAAGGAATAAATATGGGAGAGAACTTCAGACAGCAGTAGAAAAGCAAAACAGACATAGGCTTAGCTCTTTAAAAAAGGACATTTATCATGGTGGGATATTTTAGATGCATAAAAACATAGACCTACAAACTGAAATTTTTTTTTAAAAGAATTTAAAAATTTGTTATTTTAGACAAAAAACAGTTTCTAAAATGTTTAGTTAAGAATGTGTGTGAACAGTTATATTTCATTTCCTAATGTACAACATACACAGCTTTAAAATGGAACAGCAGTGACGGTTTATAATGCAATGTGATGGAAAGAAACAACCCAACAGTTACGCTACATCTCTGATAAAACAATTTCACAAAACAATAAATTAAGACAATAGCTTCAAGACAGCCAGCTGTGCTGCATCTGAGACAAAACTAATGTAGACAGCCATAAAGACTGGTCAGATGGATCACTCCCCTATCTAGAGGAGATCTAATCAAGCTCTCTCCTTTGATGGGCCACAAAGATCCAGGATGACCAGGAGGCTATTTTCCCATGGGGCATGGGGTATTCTAGTGGTTAGGACAGAAGTTTAGGCATTCCATGAAGGCTTGAAGTCCCCTGTTCCATATCTGCAGACTACCCCTCTGTGCTCTTAGCTCATTCCGCATGCACAGGTTGCCAATTAGACGCTGTAGACGGCACAGTGTCCCTAAGGAATGGGGTTAAATGCAGTCAAATGATGTTAAATGTGTAATTACAGTGATAAAGTGAGATTATTGTTATCATTTTCACCATCTGGCAGACAGAAGAGTTTTATGAGCTTCAACCAACAAACTAAAGTGCAGCCTTTCCCCATGTTTGTGTAAAAACTACTGTGGAAACACGTATGCACATACTACCTCCCAGTTCAATGCCTAAAACACTCCAATTTTTTTGCCCTAATATTAACAGAAATCTGACACTGCTAAAAAAAGCAGTAAAATATATTTTGTTGTTTTATGTACAATGTCATATTTTACATAGATTACATTTATATCAAATAACACAACTAAACTTTTTTTACAAAGACAATATATGCCATTTGATTTCATGCAACCAATAGGTTTCTTTGTTGGACAATTTAAACCAAAACACTCATCATCCTTTGTATGGTTTAACGTTGCTGTACCAGTATGACAAAGCTCCAATTTAATTTGAAACAGGATTTTTAGGTTATGAAACACATTCATGCGTATGATTATACACTTAGATGTTAAACAAAATCCACGAGTTAATTCTAAGCTAAAATGTAAAATATTTGAAACAAATAAAAGGTCATATAGTAAGGAAAGAAAAATTTAGCTGAAAAACGTTGCTTTATTTAAGACACATAGCTGTTCATTAACTTATGTTAGGGAGGCTGATTTTATTTAGCACATAAATGCTTGAAGACCTTCAAATAGCTAAATATTTATATGCTGACCAACAAAGAAATCCAAACTTACCTTGGGGATTTTTTTTTGCAAGTATGTATCAAAGCTGCAGCAAGAATAACAGCAACAATGCCCAGAACAACGGCGATGATAATAGCAATCTTCAAATGACCAGCAATTTCATCTGAAATATAACAAGATGATGTTATTGCTACAATCTTACAGAATAACAAGAACCAACCCACAAATGTGAAACACATTTAACTCTCCTTGACATCTTAAAACATGTGACTGTTTTAATTAAATTAACATTCTTTATTTTACAATAAGAAAATCTAATAGTTAATTAGCTTTTTGAATTGCTTTCCTTTAACTTTACCCACCAAAACAAATTGTGTGACCAAAAAAATGTTGAGTCATAGATTAAAACTGTTGTTTTAGAAGGGTTAATTAATGTAATATTCTTTTTTAAATACTTCAGTAACAATACCAAACTGTGATGATCAGTTTGTTATGTATAGTACTCGAGTTCAGGGGGGATGAGGGGGTATGGCATCCCCCTTAATCTTAAAATTGCGATTTCAATTTGTGATTTTATTTTCGACCTCAGTGGAGCAACCAGCAGAGCAGGTGACGGTGTTCTGAACAGCATCAAAGCCAAGTGGCAAAGACAACACGATTTGAGGGACTTCATTTTTAACAAGGCAAAAACTAAGGCTTCAGGTAAGTCAAGAGTCAGAAGACATTACCTTTTATAAGCTTACCGTTGTGTCACCAAGCACGTAGAAGTCCTAATCTCTGGACATAGTGATAACATGAAAAACTAGCTAAACCAGTTTGAAGCTCAAACATTTTTCTGTCTTTAAAATCTGCTTTTTTTTGTGAATTTTTTTGTTTGTGAATCGAACAAAAAATTAATCTGTAGGTCGCTGCTGTTTTGCTAGGAGACAGCCAGAATCTAGAAGATGTTGGTGAGACAAGGGGAGCTGTGGCCGAGAGAAGTGGAGGAAACCGAGAGAATCGAAGCATTGAAAAATACATTTTAATTAAGCAATTTAGACATGTGTTAAGATTATTATTTCGTAAGCACTGCCAAATGTGATGTAAATGCCTGGCCATTGGTCATAAATGAATTGAATATTGACACCTGACTGCTAAGTCCCTTGTGTGAATTTAGTGGTAAATAGTTAAGTTCTACTGACCTGTTAGAAAACTTTAACTCATTAATTGCCAGCATGTAGCCTAGCTTACTTTAAATTAGCCAATAGAAGCGATGCTGATTTCTGATAAACAGTCTATTTTATAAAATAAATACTCTAAAGGCTTATTTTCAGTCTAATTTTAATGTGTTTGAATTTGTAAGCAGTTTTGTTTAGATTTTGAAAAGTATTTCAGCTGTTTCAATCTAATTAATTTAGATTGAATAAAAAAATACTTGACTTAAAAGGATTCAGATATTAATTTGCAAAGTTTTGTTCCAAATCTTAATATATTCATTGCCAAAAGATTTTCCAAAGTAAAATCAAAGAAGTAGCCTCACTATGAAGTTGATCCCAGTGGGTAATATGTCCTCTGCATTAGTCCCTAACTATGTAGGGGCAGTGATAGTGATACCAGTCCAGGGACCGACTGCAGTTCTACTGTAAGTTGCCTTGGTCAAGGTCAATAACCGCTGTACCTGACATGTAACAACCATACCATGCATATTGCTTTAGGTTAATAGACTATATTAATTAGACTATGTATGTTTCCAAAAAAATAAATAAAAAAAAAAAAAATCCCCCCTTTCCCTTTTTTTTTTTTTTTTTTTTTTTTACAACTCAACTACTGGTTATGTGTGATAAAGTGACTGCTTCTTAGTCAGCCTCTAGAGTCTATTTAAGTAAATTAAATGTTCCCTGTCTGAGAGCTGCTGGCATCTGAGAAGACAGATCTCTATCCACTGGATGGCAGACCATCATGGGTTCATTAACAGGAAAATAATAACTAATTCCTCATTATCCACTGACAGTTTCAAAGTGTTGAAGGTTTGAAGCACATGTGGAAATGTGCAGCAAGAACATGTTTAAATTGAACTGTATTAAATAAACCTTCTGAGCTGAAGCAACAAAAATAAAACCCATCACTTTTTAGCAGAAATTGTTTTTTCAAATATTCTGTCTGCATCTGACTCTTCATTTATATAGACTCACTTCAATCAATATTAAAGAGTTTAAATTTGAAAAACTTTGACAATGATGCTTACTCGGCTGAGAGACCTAAAGTACAACAGCTGTTTTAATGGGTTTGCTACTTTTAAACAAGGCATGACACAAAATTACCTTTTAAAAAGTTCTGTCTGTTATAAGGTTTTAGGTTTCAAAGACTCCTTTGACTGACTTGGTTTTATATTACTAAAGCAGGTGAGGGAAATAGATAAAAATAGCTAACAGAAAATAAGGCTCTAATCGTCTGCACTTACATGGACAGGTAGTTATAAAATGTACTCCCTTTCATTATTATTTAATCTATAAAATGCAATATACAAAAAATAATGAGTCTGATCTTGAATGAATGTAGCACATTTTTAAAGCAAATAACTTAGAATGCAATAGAACTTGTTGTCCTTGGACTTAGAGCTGGGAGATATTGCCAAAAAACTATCACATTATTTTCTGTATCGAAGAATTTCTATAACTATTACAATATCTATACTATTAACAGTATAATTTCTTTTTTTTTTATCTTACTGACTTCAATAAGCAAAACTTTATAGCTGTTATTTTCATTTTCTGTTCTAAAAAATATTTTGTGTTATTGCCCGACCCTAGTTGGCCTTAAAACAATAGTTTTTAAATCTTTCAATCACCTGGTATATAACTAAAATATTTTCCTAAAATGCTTTCACAACTCTTTAGAAACAATGAATACTTTCCTATGATTCAAAGATTTTAACTTGGCAGTTCCGTTACAGAAGCAGTCATTTATCCATCTGCTAAATTATATATTTATCTAATTTCCTTAGGCAGCACAAAATACTTGCTAATAAAGCTTCACTGAAAACCGAATGGTTGTCATTCATCCCCGATTCATTTTGTTTTTGTGCTCCACTATTTTGGAAGACACAAAATATAAAAACCTCTAACAAAAAGGAGAAAACAAAAAATGCAATATGACATTTTACATTACCGGTAAGTCTGGTTAAATAAAACAAAAAACAAAGTGAACATTCTAGGTCCGTGTCCGTGGTCCATGTATCTTTTGGTCATTGGATTTTTGATTCAGAAACAGGAATTAAAAAAGATAAAAACAAATGGTAATTTGATTTTTGTTTTGAAGTGCAAAAAACAAAATTGAAATTTAAAAGGTCTCTCTTTTTCATTGTCAAAAAGGGAAAAGTAAAACCTGAAAAATTATTTGAATTTCATTTTCCGTTTTAGGGAAACGAAAAACAAAAATGTTTTTGAACAGGGACGAAAAAAGGTTCATTTGTGGTCGTTTTTTCATATTCCGAGACCGGATGTGGTTACTTATTTGCGGCAAAAGCACCAATGTAAGAGCTGCCTGGGGGGGGCAGAAACATTGGGCTGCCCGTCGGCTGCGGGGCGTGTCTCTGATTCAAAGTTTAGACAGATCCCAGAGGAAAAAGTTTAATCGAAACGGGAGATTACTCCCCAGCTTGTGGCACGGACCACCCCCCCAGAGTTCCTAGAGAGAGAGCAGAGCAGGCACCAGCTGATGCCAAGCAGCAACAGTGTCCTTGAGGGGTAATCAAAAGTCAGAGTCAGAAGACAGGACCAACTTCAGAAGCCGGTAGAATCCAGGAATCAGTCCAGAACAGATCAAACTAACAGAGCAGAGAGGGGCAAAGCAGGACTCGGGACCCACAGGGCAGAAACTGGTCAAAATCAGGAAAACAGAACAAAATTTAGAATGCTAGAGTTCATCTCACCAATCTTCTCGAATAACCTGGCGCTGATGGAAAGCAAGCAAAGAACATAAATAGCAGAGGAACCAGGTGGAAATGATCGGCATTAATCAACCAGTGGACAAATTAGACAGGTTTGCAGCAGCAAGGGAAAAAACTGAACCATCAGCACCAAGAACATGACAGTAATTGAGGGCGACAGTACCATCGGGTGTAGGAGCCTGCATTGTCTACTGATGGTGGTCAGAGAGCCCAGTGGCGCCAGTGTACGGCAGCCTCGCTTCTGTCAGTGCTACAATGTAGCTTGCCACCATCAGTGTGTGTGTGTGTGTGTGAATGACTGAATGTAGTGTAAAGCAATTTGGTCAAGTCTCCTGACTTGAAAAGCACTATATAAGTACAGGCAATTTACCAGTTTTCTGAAACAATAAAAAAGTTTCCCTCAGGACCGAAGTAAGAAACTTCGTTAAATTTAGAAGATATTCACAGATTTGGCTTCTCTCAATAACTCGTTGGCTGATAATTTCTTCTACAAAACCGACATTGAGCTACAACCATAGTTTCCTCAAAATGAGTCTCCCACCACGCTGGGATAAATGCATTGGACTGTATGCAGAGTTTTGCTGGTTGCAATACCAGGAAAATAATCATAAAGAAATATTCAACAGCATCACCAAGGAGAGGTGGATTTTCATCAAATTCATTACATGTGTATCTGATCTCACGTCTTATGTAATGCTTTACATTTTTTGGTGGATAATTCCCCAAAGCTTAAATAACAAAACATTCATTAAAGTCCCTTTAGCTAGGTGCAAGATAGAAAACAAACCCTTTAAAAATAACTGTTTACTCTATAAATCAAACAGATGTGGATATAAGGTGTTCAATATATTCAGTTTTTGTAATTTAGATTAGTAATACCTCCACTTTTACTTTTTGTAGGTATGCACGATATTGGGATTTTGGCCGATATCCGATATGCCGATATTTTAAAACTCATGTAGCCGATTACCGATGTTAATGCTGGACAAAAATAAGTAGTCATTGAAAATAGCAGTTTTGTTATCCATTTCTGACACTTTGAAAAATAATATACTCAAATAT